TTTTTTTTCATGTTTCTTTATTCAATTATTTCCGATGATCTGCAAGTGTCCTTATATTTATGACCAGGAAGTGTATGCGTTGTTTCTATATGCGCGTTGTTTGATCTGACAAAAAGTATATGTAGTATTATTTTGAAACTATATTATCGATAGATAAATCTTTAAAATAAAATTAATTATTCCAAAAATTTGATTGAAGTTTATTATATATACTTATGATGAAATTATACAATTGCTCACAAATTTGTAGAACTGGAGAAATCTGTGGTCGAAATAGTAAATCAGAAAAATGTTATATCCATCGTAAATCTCCAGTATATACTCCTTGTAGAGATTGTGGCGAGTCAAATAGGTCTAAATATAATGCATGCAATGATCATGTAGGCAAATATAAAAGTAGAGAGAATTACAACAGAAAAAAGCAGGATGAATTGTGTATACAAATTGCTATGATTGAGAATCATATACCCGACTTACCCGATTCTAGACATGAAGTATAATCATGTGCTTGGCATATACCGATTATTTTTTCCAAAACATCTTTAAGTAAAGCTATATCCTCTTTGATCCCATTGATATTTTTAGTGATTTTATTACGTAAAGCTACGGATTCCAAGGCTTTATTTCAGGAGAAATGTCACTTCGTGTCTGATCGATATCGTGTTTTATCTGCATCCATTTCTCGATAGAATTACATTAATCGCCACCCATTCAATTTTTGGTATAGCTACACTAATTCACGGATAATTAATTTCGATTTGAAAAAAGAATCCTATAGTATATATCAGACGAAATTAGTCTATATAAAACATCTCAATCATATCAACTGACATATACTAACCATGGCAAAAATCGCTACATCATTTGTAAGTTGCTACAAATTGACTCCTCAAACTAGTTTACCCCAGCTTAGTAGTTATACCGAAGAGTTGGCTAATAAACTTTCAGATGGTAAGACAAAAGAGCAGGCCCGAAAAGCCAGAGATCAGGCTAAAAGACGCTTCCAAGAGTTGGGATTGAGTAAGGAGCAAGCTGATACTCTTATTCCTATTCGAGCTCCTGGGAGACATGTTGGGGAAAGAGACCCTATCAAAATTATTGCTCGAGATATTATAAAAAATAATCTCTCACCTGAAGAAATAAATGGAATAGCATATGACTTGGCTTCTTCTGCCCCCACTACTGTTGCGGGAAATTCTCGTCTTAATTTATTACAGAAAGAATTGCGTAGCTTAGGAGCTAACTATCTCATTACCGAAGCGACAAAAATACCCTTTATTACTGAAGAAGCAAATCGGATTCAAGCAAGGAAATGTATACTTCGTGGAATTAATGGTTACGATTGTCCCGAGTTCTTTTACCTGGAAAAAGTTCAAGAAAGACTTAACGAATGTGATACTACCAAGCCTCCTTTGATGCAAAATCTAGTAGATGTGATGGTAATGTTATGTATGCGGTCAGCAGAAGTAAAAACTCTTCGTATCAACCGATACAAACCAAGTTATGAGTCGTGGTATAATCCTGACTATTCTTTGTATTGTACTGGTTATGCAAAAAATAAAGGCAAAGTAGAAGAACCCTGGCCATTCCTCTCAATGGAAAAAAATCCAATACGAGCAAGAGAATTACTTATCTGGATTCAGAGATCAATACCAGATAAATTTCCCTTCTTGTTAAAAGATAAGGATGGAAATACTAATGTTGTACCACTTAATCAATTCTTGAGTTGTCATAGAATTACCTCATATATGTTAAGAAAAATAGGTGCCGATCATGCTTCCAGAGTACATGGAGGTAAGAATGATACTGGCCGTCAATATTTACGACAATTGGCATGTCGGCATAAGATAGGCCATGCTTCATCAGTCGAACATTATGGTGTGATAAATGATAGACCAATTATTCCAACACCTAAGCCAGCCACCCCTATTATTAAACAAAAATATGATGAAATTGAGGATATCTATGACTTATATGGGAATAATTAGATTAGTGATATAATTAGTTATTAATCGTTGGATGCGATATGTTTACTAATCAAGCTTCTTTGCTTTCACTACTTTCACAGTAAAATCTTCTTCATCATTAGACGATTCAGACCCAGATGAGGACTCAGATGCTGTATCGTTAAAAATTAGTTTTTTCCCCGTCTTCTCAAGATTTTATCTCTCGAAGCCAGATAAATTTTGTTAACATAACAATATACCTTTAACAGGATAACAATATATCTTTTTCCAAACTAGAGAGGAAAAAGGGCCTTGCATGGTGTACGATTTCTTCAAGAAATATCTGGGTTTGCTATCGAGTT